AGAAGAAAGCGAAATTGGGTCATCGGGTCACCAACAGCTTTGCATGAAGTCGATTTCTTCCCAAAAATGTTTAACAAATAAAGTCTTAATAACAAAGGGAAAAGGATTAGCCTGTAAGTTTTGCTAATTTATTACATGCAAAACGAATGACTCTATTCACCACATTGTGATTTCAGCCAAAAGGTATTCCTAGGTATGTCTCTACAAGCTTGGCGCACCTTGTTTTCTGGTGTTTTCTCTAATTTTTCTTCTCTATAGATTACAGGTGCTGGTCATAAAATTAGAATATCATGAAAAAGTAGATTGATTTCAGTAATTCCATTTAAAAAGTGAAACTTGTATATTATATTCATACATTACATACAAACTCATATATTTCAGATGTTTATTTTGTTTAATTTTGATGATTACAAATGACAACAAATGAAAATCTCAAATTCATCATATCAGAAAATTAGAATATTACTGAAGACCAATAAAAACAAAGGATTTATAGAAATGTTGGCCAACTGAAAAGTATGAACATGAAAAGTATGAGCATGTACAGCACTCAGTATTTAGTTGGGCCTCCTTTGGCCTGTATTACTGCAGCAATGCGGCGTGGCATGGAGTCGATCAGTCTGTGGCACTGCTCAGGTGTTATGATAGCCCAGGTTGCTCTAATAGTGGCTTTTAGCTCTTCTGAATTGTTGGGTCTGGTGTATTGCATCTTCTTCTTCACAATACCCCATAGATTTTCTATGGGGTTAAGGTCAGGAGAGTTTGCTGGCCAATTAAGAACAGGGATACCATGGTCCTTCAACCAGGTACTGGTAGCTTTGGCACTGTGTGCAGGTGCCAAGTCCTGTTGGAAAATGAAATCTGCATCTCCAAAAAGTTGGTCAGCTGCAGGAAGCATGAACTGCTCTAAAACTTCCTGGTATGTGGCTGCGTTGACCCTGGACCTCAGAAAACACAATGGACCAACACCAGCAGATGACATGGCACCCCAAACCATCACTGACTGTGGAAACTTTACACTGGACTTCAAGCAACGTGGATGAAGTGCCTCTCTTCTTTTCCTCCAGACTCTGGGACCTTGATTTCCAAAGGAAATGCAAAATTTACTTTCATCAGAGAACATGACTTTGGACCACTCACCAGCAGTCCAGTCCTGTTTCTCTTTAGCCCAGGCAAGACGCTTCTGACGCTGTCTGTGGTTCAAGAGCATGGCTTGACACAAGGAATGCGACAGCAGAAACCCATGTCTTTCATACGTCTGTGTGTGGTGGTTCTTGAAGCACTCACTCCAGCTGCAGTCCACTCTTTGTGAATCTCCCCCACATTTTTTAATGGGTTTTGTTTCACAATCCTCTCCAGGGTGCGGTTATCTCTCTTGCTTGTACACTTTTTTCGACCACATCTTTTCCTTCCCTTCGCCTCTCTATTAATGTGCTTGGACACTGAGCTCTGTGAACAGCCAGCCTCTTTAGCGATGACCTTTTGTGTCTTGCCCTCCTTGTGCAAGGTGTCGATGGTCGTCTTTTGGACAACTGTCAAGTCAGCAGTCTTCCCCATGATTGTGTAGCCTATAGAACTAGACTGAAAGACCATTTAAAGGCTTTTGCAGGTGGTTTGAGTTAATTAGCTGATTAGAGTGTGGCACCAGGGGCCATCAATTTTTAACCTTTTCACAATATTCTAATTTTCTGATATGATGAATTTGAGATTTTCATTTGTTGTCATTTGTAATCATCAAAATTAAACAAAATAAACATCTGAAATATATGAGTTTGTATGTAATGTATGAATATAATATACAAGTTTCACTTTTTAAATGGAATTACTTAAATCAATCTACTTTTTCATGATATTCTAATTTTATGACCAGCACCTGTACCTCCAGCTCTGTTAAGTTTGCTGGGAAACAACTGGGTATGATGTTTTCAAAAATCCTTGAAAAAATCTCCTCACATTGACACCAACATAGGGATTTTATTTTTTTCATGCCGAAATATGCAGCTAAACAGGAATCAGGATGGCAGCATATATAGAAAAGTCCAGGATGCTTTTTAATCACAAAGATTAAAATTTCACTGGTGAATGAAATTAGTAATTCTTTGCTAATCTTGAAGTGATCCACATAAACAAATCTGTTTGGTTCAAACAAAGTGAAATCTGAGTTCATTTAAGTATCCAAGTGGATCTACTTTCAGCTGAAGTAAGAAGATGAACAAATGTGGTTCATTTAAGCTATTTTATGTTTCTAATATTGGAATTAAATGAAAGGGCCACAAATTTCACTTTTGAACTATTATTTTTTAATTATCTTCAAAACATTTTGTCCAGAATCATAAATTCTTTTGTTTTGTGCAAATAAACCACATTAAAAAGAGACAGTGAGGATAAAAAAGTGACCAAACAGCTTTATATGTGGCTACAAGTGAGAATGAATCTGGCTAACAAGGGAAGGATTTCGTGAAATTCCCAGATCTGAAGTTTGCTTTTTTACAATAAGTAACTGGTTGCCTTTCATCCAGTTTGCTTAAGCAACAGCTTGCATGATTCATGGGGGGGATGAGAGAACGTTACGAGGCATGATGGGGTTGCAGCCAAACAGCACAGCAGGCAAAGCTGCCAACTCTTTTGCATTTGTTCAGAAGTTATTGGATCTTTTGAAGCTCCATAATGATGCCTTTGGTTGGGCAAAGCTTTGTTTGTATGCAGCAGGAACTCAGTAAAAATGAGCTAAGGCCGCTTGTTAGGGATCAGACAAAAGAAGTGTAACTCCCAAAATCGATTGCTTGATGAGTTTTGCTTGAATTCAGAACTCTATAAGGAAAAGAAAACTACATTTCTATTAACCTCACTGTAAATTTTTTGATGTTCTTTGAATCCTTCCTCATTCAATCACATTGCAACCAAAACCCTTGATGCATACTATTGAGATTTTTATGGGATAAATCTACACAAGTAGCAAATAGTTGTGGAATGGAAGGCAGTGGGGGTCGAGCAAAGCAGCAAAGATGACTGTGAAGGAGCTACAGAGACCCACGGGTCAAGTTATAATAGCTGCCTATTTATGTTAAAGCTGCATAAAAAACTGTTACTAAAAGAAAGCCGTAAAAAGCAGTTTTCAACAACATATTTAGAAAACATAAGGAGGAAGATACCTTAATAGTACAATTTAGTCTCCATGCAAAATGCTATGACTTGTTTAAAAATTCAATATAGAAAAATAAATAACTGGCTTTACCTTTCCTGACCTAACGTTTAGTTTGCATATCATTACACATGGGTACAAGGTTGGAATACTGCTCAGGTGGTGTTTTGCTTCAGAGAGGACAGGAAAGCAGGTAAAAACTGATGGAAACCTGGATGGAAGAATTTTGGTTCACTGCAAAAGACTTAAGACTGAAGCAGTTTTAACAGGCATGGGGAATAACTAATTACATTTATTCACTGAAAAAAATAATACAACCGTTTTTGGCATTTACTTAATCATATTTAGTTACTTTAACACAACTGTTTCATGTTAGCAGGGTAGGACATTAAAAAAAAAATGTGTTAAAGTAACAAAATATGAGTAAGTAAATGCCAAAAGTGGTTGCATAATTTTTTTCAGCGTAAAAAAAATAAACGAAAAACTGTCAGAAATTGTACCTTCACCGTACTTTCTACCCAAGTGAAGTAATTCTGGTAATCCTTTTTGGAGTGTTGCTATTTTTATTAGAACCAATGAGTAATTTTAGCAATTCAGAGATCCAATAAATACACTGTAAACAGTAGATATTGTAGCTGGAAGTTTTTTTTATCCCTTCCTGTCATATATTCATACCCTACAGGAGATTTGTTTAACTGCTTTATGTCGATTTGGAAAAAGTGCTTCCTCTGTCCAAAATATGCCATGGTGGAATCATGTTGTGTATTATGATTTGAAACACAAGCCTTTGCACGTTGACTAATTACATTTTTTTAAACATTAATTCAGATGTCATAACCCATTGGTTATTCACTACTTAAGGAACCATTTTGCTTATTCTTCTCCTGAGTAATTTCTAGAACAGATACTCTCTACTTTGAGTTAGTTGCAAGCAGTGCTTTTCCTGCTGCATAAATTTGAGGTACTCTGCCCACTTTTGGGGTGCACCTTCAAGCAGGACAACAAAGGTACAGTGAGGGCTATGATTTAGATATAAGACTTCCAGCTTTGATTGCAGCAAGAGATGGCTTTATGAAGAAGTTTGTTAGGATAACAGAATACAAAACACATGCTTCATCTTAAATATTTGAATTTTTTTTATGAGAACCATGGAAATTTTGTCTATCAAATTGTGTGGTAACATGATTTGTCATTATGGCATAATAAAATATGGTTATGCCCAGTGGCAGTTCGTAATTTGGAAAGACCCAGTAAACATTGCACAAACTATCAGATCCTGCAACCCACAGAAAGACACCAGCTGAGAAAATAGGCTCTCATTTAATTAATTCACAGTAAATGGCTAAAGGGCACATTTTAGTAACTGAACAGAGGAATGCACAGTTCTTTACAGGTTAAATCCAAGCCCATCTGCTCTGACAAGCACTAAGCTCTTAAGGAATACAGAAAACCTATATTTCACTGTAGCTCGGCCGACAACAACTGGAAGCATCCAATAAATATCTGTCGGTGCACCAAGTGTTCCTTTGTAACATTTTCAGTACCTTATTGTGGTTTCAGTAAAATGCTGCAAGATTCTGGTGGTACAGGTAGATAACAATCCAACCATATTTTTGAAGAAATGCACAATCACATCATGCAGCACTGTATGGCTTCCTATTGATTAAATGGATTAAAACTAAGAGCATGATGCTGTTTCGAATTATCTTAATGCCCAGCTGAATTTGCTTGAACAATTGTGTTGAGAAATAAAAAAAGGGCTTATCAGCAACATGCTTCACCGAATAAACAGAACCATCCAGGTCCTTAACCTTAAAGAAAAAATGACAGAAAATAAAATTGAGTCTTGAGGAAGAAATTATCTTACAGATATTGATCTTTTATAGTGCTAATAAAAAAAATCCACAAAACTGCATAACCCAAATCACAGAAACAAAAACAAATCAGAGCAGAATATTATTTAAAACATGGAAAAGAAAATTCATAACACACTATTTTCCTTTTGTATTTTACAGTCCTAAAAAAAACTTGTTAGTATTATTTTTTTTGAAGTTTTTGAAAAGTGAAACAGGAGAAAAAAAAACAACAAGTAATACTGAATCAGTATTGGCCCAAATCACTGCAAGCGCAAAAATGCAAATGGAAAAAATTCCAAATAAATCTGTTAAGGTTGCCTGGTCTCAGGGGGAATAGATTTATCCTAATAAAATAAATATTTAAAACAAAATAGAAGAACTATTGGAAAAACAATATTGGAAGTGAGTTTAATCCAGTGACTTTAAACTAACTTTCTGCCAAGAAAAACATGACGTGACAAGGACCCTCCTTTTCTTCCCCCTTTTTCAGTCTCCACAGTTTCAATATGTGTTTTATAACTTTAACCCCTTTTTCCTCAGGTCCTCTTTTGCTTCTTTGATCTGCTCTTGAAGTTCTCTGGCCGCCTCATCGCAGTCGTTAAAGGTGGCCACCCGGTAGCCAACGGTGGCCAGGGAGTAGCAGCCGAATGAAACCAGCAGGTAGAGGGGCATGGGCCAGGCCACCTCCCTGTAGGTCCCGGGGACGCTCAGCTCCAGCAGGTCGAAAGCGATCACAGCCCATATGATACCCAGAAGCGAGACTCCAAGCAGCCACTGAAGGAGTTTAGTCATGATGGAAGTCTGAGTAACGACGAGCCTGACAGAGAGACCAAATGTTAGCACCGTAACGTAGCAACGGCTCCGATTGAAGATAAAATACGTTATACAAAACAACCAGGAGGTAGGACAGTTAAAACACGCTCAATAAAGAAGTACTTGCAACGAAAGAAGAGCTGAAAGATTCAATAGCTCATTAATTCTTCTAAGTTTAAACAAAAGTTCAATGTTTACCTCCTTACAAACGCCACCTCAGCTCTGCGCAGGATGATGACGTCAACCTTCCTAACGCCTTATGGGAAATGTTGTGCAATACTTTGCTCTCGACCACAAATTAGATTTTCAACTCAATAAAATGTAATTTTTACGGAAGAGGATTGGGTCCACTGAAAAAATAAAAAAGTTAACTGATTTTTAAATATTATTTCACTTTAATATGGGAAAAACGTCAGAATTCTGACTTCAATCTCAGAATTTTGAGAAGCTGAGTGATCCCACATGTCTTCCACATCTCTTCCACATTCTTCTATTCTGAGGAAAAAGTCAGAATTCTGAAAAAAAAGTCAGAATTCTGAGATTAAGTCAGAATTCTGGGAAAAATCTCAGAATTCTGATTAAAAATGCCAGAATTCTGATATTAAAGTCAGAATTCAGAGGGAAAGAAGTCAGAATTTTGAGAAAAATGCCAGAATTCTGATACTAAAGTCAGAATTCTGAGATTAAGTCAGAATTCTGGGAAAAATCTCAGAATTCTGATTAAAAAAAGTCAGAATTCTGATATTAAAGTCAGAATTCTGACTTTTTTTTCATACTATTCTGAAATAAAATTTAAAAATCAGTTAACTTTTTTATTTTTTTTAGTGACCCTAATCCTCTTCCATAAATTTTTGATATTGAAAAATAGTAATAAAAAGCAATACATTAAATTCATGTTCTTGCATAAAAATCTTCATAGCATAATAAGATATAACAGATGATAACGATATTGTTAAAAAATATATATAATATAATAAATATAATATAAATATAATAAAAATGTCTTTGCTGTCTGACAGAGGGGAAGTTTGGCAAAACTTAATAATATGAGAAAAAAATTGCAAGATTTAAGCTTTACATTAGAAGAGATTTTAAAACATTTTAGAAAGAAAAAGGAAACATGTGATTATTAATAATGATGGTAAAGAAATGGTTATTTAAGTAAAAATGAGAAATGTTCAAGTAAAAAAAAATTAACAGCAGCTCGATTACAAAACAATATAAAGTCTAATAGAAAAAAACATAGAACAACATTTAATATGCATATGTATAACTTCTTTCTATTTGAACCTTCTAATTGGTCCAAATTTAAATATTTTGCTGTTTATGGGTTTTTTGTTGTTGTATTGGACATTTATGACTTTTATCAGACATGTTTTATGTCTTGATATTTTAAATGTGGAATTATCTTTAAAACTATTTTTTTGTATGATGGCCATCAGAAAGACCTTTTGAGAGTAGATGTCAGAGATATCTTACTGCTGTGTGAAATTTTACCATTGGTGTAATAACAACAGCCATACCCAGTCAGCTGTGAGAGAGATGACAGCTTGTTTTGACCCTGCCTTTAGTTAGGCACCCCACATAAGCCCTGTAACCATTTTAGAAATTAAGTACCATTAGAAAATAATAAAAGCTCTCAATGACAGCTAGTGTTTTTTTCCCCTGAGAGAGGAATCAAACAACAATTTAATGAGGGTTCTGCAGGAGGCTCTCTGTTCTTTGATCTCAGTCTCTGCCTCCTTATTCAGGGTGGTGAACTATCCAGGTGCAGAGGGCAGATTTCTCCAGGGTGGAATCAGGACTTGGTCGAGATATAAACATCATTCAGTGAGCCGGGTAGAGCGACACGCTGAGCAGCCACTGAGAAATAAACATCATTCTCTGGAGAGAAAATGGAGAGTTATTCTTAGGGCTGGAGTGTTTATGTTTGTCTGCATTAGTGTTAATAGTGTGAGCTTCTGCCAGAAGGGTAGAGCCTATTTCTTATGTTTATTTTGACTCTAGTAGGCAAGACTGAAAAACAGGCTGCATGACATTAAAAAGAAAAAAAAAAACTTAAGATGGCATAAACAGAATTAAAACATTAAGAAATTACTTTAATGTTTATTCATTGGCCTTTTTTGAGTTAAGCTGATATAGTGTGGTCCAAAAACATTAATAAAATGAAACAAAAACACAAAATTATGAATAAAAGACACGAGATAAACATACAAGTTAGTACAGGAGAAAAACAGATTTTAAGATTTATTTAAGATGTTAGAACATATGACAGTGAAATGTTGATCATAATCTCTGCCATAGGAATTTACTGGGGTGTTCATTTGGTCATTTAGAGCTAATGCTAACAAAGTATCTACAGAGCCGTATGACACCATTAGCTCACTGCAAAAAAAGCATCTGGAGGCATTTTACCTGTTTGCTGGAAACTTTAATCAAGTAAAACTGTCAGACACTCTGTCGCTTTTTAGCACTTCTCCTTAACCTTGTAGGGGGGTCAACACTTTGGGAACTAATATTTATGGTTAGTGCACAAGACCAGAATCTTCCATGACCCATCCGAGGCATCACCGACCACATCTTCATCCTACTGGTGCCAGCATATCGACCACTGATGACAGATTAAGCCAACTAAGAAATGGCCAAAGAAACATAGAAAATTCAGGGTCACCTTAACATCAATGACCCACTGCGCATGTGGAAAGTCATCAAATTCATCACAGGCAACACAGCACAGATACAAAAGCCCAACAGGTTCTATGCCCACTTTGAGAATTCCAACACCCCTATCAGCACCAGGCTCTTTTCACCATCTGGTAAACCACCCCTCCATGAGACCTAAGCAGACATGAGGGAGACCCTCCAGGGGTTCACCCCCAATGAGGCTGCAGGCCCCAAAAACATCCCAGGGTGAGTACTAAGGGATGGTGCACACCAGCTGTCTAAAGTGTCAGCAGAAAATTTTAACACTTCACTGTCACTGGCATCTGTTCCAACCTGCTTTAAGTGCTCCACAGTGACAGGCCTGAATGACTATCAATCTGTAGCCTTAACATTGGTAGTCATGAAGTGCTTAGAGATACAGCTACAGGTACCCGGGTGTGCATTTGTCTAGTGACCTTACCTGGAGTGCCAACATTTCCTGTCTGGTCAGAAATGTCCATCAGCATCAATAATTCCTCAGGAAACTGCAGAGAGGTGGACTCTGGAGCTCAATCCTGAGGGACATTTATCGCTGTGTTGTGGAGATTATATACCTACATCTACATCATCATGTGGCACAGCAGCATTAATGCTGAGGGGATGGCTCTGCAGAGCATGGTTGAGGCTGCACAGATTATTGCATGAAACAGCGTTTCCTCCATCTCAATCTCTACACATCAAGATGAAAAATTAGAGCACTCCCCATCAATGGCGTAACAACACAACAATAGGCCTGTAAGCAACATTATCAGGGTGGGCCCCATATAAAGTACAACACCCTCTTTTTGGTATCCATCATCGCTAACACATTGTACGGAACGGTTATGGTTTTAAGTCTTTGTGTAAAAAATAAAATACTCTAATACATTGTTCTTTTAAGATCTTTATTGTGGTTTGAAACATATTATATGAGTGTATTTTTTACCAACCGTCTAATGAATTATACACAGTTGTTAACATAGTAATTAAAAGTACCTGCTTTGCTATTGTTATCTTTTTTAAACGGCCCCCCATCATGTTGAAATCTGCCATTTCTTAGGGTATAAATAAGGTCTGGTCAGTAGACGTACTGTAGTATCAGGTGGATTTAAGAGGAATTCTTCGCACAATTACATCTGCAAAGAGACGTCCTAGATCACAATTGCATAGGGGGCCAACCAGGTGTCAGTGACAGGGCACCTAAGAGGTCAGGGGCCCCTAAGCAATTGCAGTCTCTGCTTACCGATAGTTACCCCATTGCTCCCCATCCTCCAAACTGTTCCATTGAGCATTTAAAGCAGGACTACCAAGATCAGAAACAGTTTCTACCTTGCAGCTGTTAGACTGCTGAACTCAAGTCAGACTTAATTTAGGTTCCTCTATTTCTACATCTTTTTTTAAATATTAAGCTAATTGAACTGGGATTTGAGTCTAGATTTTGTACAACAAACATGCAAATGTGAACTGGTATGACCATAAAAAAATATCTAATCCTGAAGCTAAGAACCCACAGAAATTAGTTCAGATTGAAATAGAATTACTGCGACTATCATCAATGTCTCATCCAACAGCCTGATGTCTTTATTCATGGTAAACTAATGCTAAATGGATTAACAAGTGAAAGTGTCTACTGCATCCATTGCTACTTTGCTTTTTAGACCAAAGTTTAACAACAGAATCCAGACGTGTGTTTTACACCTCTCACTGGTGAACAAGATGTAAACCAACAAATAATTAGTAGTAATAGTTCCAAAATTTTTCCAAAATCGAGCATAAATCTTTGGACAAGTTGGCCTAATGCTGAATGCACATAATTTTATGTTTAACCTAAGTGTTTAGGTCAACAGCAAAATTATACTGTACATGGATTGCAATAAGAGACCTCTCCCACAAAATAAATGTTTTGCTATGATATACAATAAGGTATGGGTGTTTTACAGGGCTGTAGTTTGGGGTGAAATGATTTTTTCCAAATTTTAAAGTGTAAATACCAAGAAATATTTAGTATTTGTTTTACGGCCATGGGCAGAGACAATGTCCTTAGTCATCATGTACAAACTAGAGTATAGACATGGGTTTGAGTAACTTCAAATAACTACCTATAGTAATGCACTCTACATTGTGCAGTCTGGTGGATATGAGTGTCATTACCCAGAGATATCCAACAACTCCAGGAACAAAATCAGGTCCTACAATAACATTCTTTGTTCTCTGAAAGGACTAAGGAGTCAGTAGTGGACTTCTATGTTTCCAGACAGTAATTTATTTGTCAAATTTTTATTTGAAAATAAAGTTAGTTGACTTTATTGTCAAATAAGAATGCAGATTGCAGAATGCAATTCCAATAAAAAAGATGGAATTATCAATACACGAACTAATGCACTCAGGGAAGGTAGAAAAAAACTCATACTTTCTTGGTATTATTTCTACAGGAGATGGTGATGAGGCCCTCCAACCTCAAAGACTTGGAGCTCATCCCCAAAGATAAATCATTAAAAAAAACATTAAAAACATGCCAAAAGTATTATAGTTGTCCCCCTTTGGACTTCTTGTTGAGTTTCTTTTTGAGCGCTCAGTTATTTAAAG